TCGCTTCTCTGTCTCTTTATCTTCGCGTTTGTGTCGAAAAAATTGATCGAGCACGTATATATTTCGATTTGGCACAGGTGGCAAGGATCGAAGGGGGAATCGCGATTGGCCGACGAATGATCGAAACGCGACAGAATTGTTATTGTCGACCCTGGATTGAGGGATTGAAAGGAGGTGATCGACGATCGAGGATACCTAAGGGCTGCTAATGCTACGGATGAACGGATGAACTGTTGGAAACTATGCTGGCATATTGTACGACATCGCATTGGATCGAAGGTAGGAGTGACAACTTGTTGGCTTCACGCGTGACATTTTTTTCGATGCCCATTTTTTTTTTTTTAAACAATTAGGGCAATTAATAGCTATCGTGTGTTGTGGAGGGTCTACGATTCGCGATAATGCGGTATAGAATATATTATGGAAATTTTTCTCGAGGCAATAAGAAATTATCACGCCGGATATTTATAGAGCCTTATTTTCGCTATTTCGTGGGAAATTTTAATTTTTATCTAAGTAACAGAAAATTAATGATTAATTTCGAAATTAATACAAGTATTATATCAAACGGTTAAAGATTTTAATTCTAATTGAATTTCTTTTTTCTTTTAATTATAAAAATGATTTTAATGCTATACATAATAATGATATTTCATTTATAATTTAATAGAAAAATCATTTAAAAATTATTTATAATTTATGATAAAATAAAAATAAAATACTCGTGATTACAGTTGTCGAAAACTCTTTCAAAAATAAACAAATACTATTTTAAATTTATTTTATATTACAAATGAAATATCATATTAAATATTTGATATAGCATTTTTCTTATTATTGTAATATTTGCGAACACTGATAAAATACGATATTGTTATTACAGAGTGACACGAACAATGTACTTACTTACAATTGTTAGATACACTATCGATTCACATGATACGTTACGCATTATTAATATCCCGTTATACTGCACGTACTATGACTGAATATAGTGTGTTGTTAAGCTTTCAAACCGAGAGTGACTGAAAGATCGATAGAAATACTATCTTGAATAATTTCTTCACCGTGTCTATCGATATAGAGCTAGAAGCTTTCTGGCATCTTATCAATCTTTATTTCTTCTCGATTTTTCTGTCATCAATTCATAACAGGAATTTTCTTTTACGAGAGATTCTCCTGAAATTCAATTTTGCGATATATACAGAAATTTTTATTTTTTTTTTAAATATATTTCAATATCAAAAAATTTTAGCAAAGATAATAATAATATTTTCCTCTATTTCTGTTATAATTCTATTTTTGACTTATTTGCAAAATAATTTATAATTTTTAATTACCGTTTTGGAAAGTCGAAAGAGTAAAAAATATAAACAAACAAAAATTAAATAAATTTCCTTTCTGATTTTCCTTATTGCACAGAAAAGAAATTTACAAGACGATTATCCAGATATATAATATGAATAAAAAATAAATAGACTATGTATTTGTCAAATATTGACCAATTCGAAAAAAAATCCCATTGTTTGGCATAATCTATTATTACCCACATTATATTTTTCTAAATATTCCATTATTGGAGCTGAAGCAATTTTGAAAATGGAGCTAGAAACAATCTGTAAAACGTGGCAAAAATAGTGCACGATCGAAATGTTCGTGCACTCTCCTGGGCCATTGTACAGGGCTACATTTAAGCAAGCAAGAGATTTGTGAAAAGGGGACGAAGGGAATTAGTGGATGCGTTTTCAGCAATTCGCCTCGCTGAATTGGCCAAAACTTTGCTAGTGTTAGTTGGATTTTCGATCGATGTTTGCGAGCTGACAATAGCCATATCCCTGTTGGCTGTGCTTTTCATTTAACGAGAAAGAATTGAACGAATTCACCGTTAAATCACCGGCTATTTTTTTTCTAGTTAACAAGAAAATATTCTTGACGTATACACTAAATTAAACGTTGATATGAAAAAAAAACTTTTTGGTGGATTATATTTTTATGTTATCGGAATATAAGAATAATTGTTTTTTTTCTTCTTTAATTATTTCTTTTTAACGGAGGGAAAATTGGAAATTTAAAAATTATTTGATAATTTTTTTAATTTGCTAAAAATTCGTTCGTATTATGTTTACTTTAATTTTGTATATAAATATATTTCAATTAGAAATATAAAATAATAATAATATAATAATAGATCATAGAAAAAAGAATTATATAATTCTATATAAAAAAAATTTAATATAACCTTGAGTTCAATCATGAAAAGAAAAATAGAATTTTATTGAATATAAGTGATATGATAATGTATTTAGCACAGAAACGTAACGAGATTCAATAGGTACATCGAAGTCTAAATCATTTTATAAATTGATTTAAAACTAAAAGTATAATTGAACCAATATATATAATTGAAAAAAAAATTATAAAAAAAACTTTTGATGTCATTGTTAATTATCTACAAAATATAAATAAATATATAAATATATAAATT